TTACTACAAAATTCAAGGGGTCACAAGTTCGTCTTTCAGATGTTACACAAAAATACAGGGAATTTTAGACTTAAAAATTCATCTTAACATCCTCAAAGTTCCAAACATTAAAAGCAGCCAAGTCCATTTAGAGAATTAAATATATGTTTTTAGAATAATGAGCAATATATATAGAACATAACATCACATTAAGCCTGACAATTAAAACAAGAGAACAGCAAATTAAGTCGGGGAAATATACATAGAATTAAACTTAGCAACAATAATCAAAATGATCTTGAAACATTAAAGAGCACCGCAAAGGCAGGGTTGTACACCTCCCGAAATTTAATTTGTCTGAGTAATCAAAAATAATCTTTCAATTAGGGAAGAGACCCAATCAAGAAACTTGTCTGAAAAATATTTTATCGTAATTATCCTATTTGAAACTATATGACTCCAAGGTGGAGGAATTTGTTACTCTAAGAATAAGCGCATGAATCATGAAACTTTTATAGAGGCAATGCTATATGCCAGATATAAAGGCATATATTTTATCCACAAGAAGATGTGTTTTCGTAAACCTTAGTATACGAGTACATGAGGCGAGTGATTCGCCGGAAGGGCAAATTTCGACCAGAGGGTCATGATTGATATAACCTCTGTAGAAATCTACAAATTGTTGCTTCATGCCAAATATCTAATCTCAGTGCTTTATAGTTTCACATAAGTTCCTATAATCAAGTGACCCAGCAGGGGCAGGCAAATTTTGATACCGGGGACATGATTTATATCAGTTTTGCAGACATTTACAAGGTAATGGTATATGCTCAATATCTTAGCTATTGATATTGCAGTTTCACAAAATAAGACCGAAATGTGTTGTGTGTGTGTATTTAAGTTTATTAAGAGTCCACCAGAAGAGTATTAGTCATTTAATATATTTTAGAGGATAGTGCAAGATTCAGAAGGATGCCCAAATTCCAGAAGCTTCCCCTGGTCCTTTAACATGCCAAGTGTTTAAGCACTCATATACGGGACCTCTTTTTAAAGTCTCATCCTAAAAACTGATTAGTAATTTTAGTTGGAAATATATTTTCTCGTACAAGACTATATCAACTAAGTGACTCCCAGGGCAGTGCCAATATTCACTTAAGAGGCATGGTTAATACCAGTTACCTTGTGGGCCACATGTTACATGCCAAATATCTAACCTCTCGGTATCATAGTCTCAGATGTGTGTAGCTGGTTCATAAGTAATATATAAATTAAGAAGCCCCTTGGACAGGACTAATATTAAACCAAGGGACATAATTCATATCAATTTTGAAAAGGTCAATAAGGCAATGCAACATACTAAATTTCTAGCTTTAAACATTGTAGTTTCACACATTGACAATGAAACTTAAATGTGTTTTCCTATATAAGTTTATATAAATCATATAATCCCTGGGGTGTGAAAGTAATATTTCTGCCGAAAAAAATGATTTCTTTCTATTGGTTCTAAAGATACAGAGTGAAAAAAAAATGAAATAACAAAGTGTGACCTTGACCTGAGAAAGGTCAAACTTGCGCTCTGCACATTGGTTCATTATGGTAAACAATTCTGCAAAGTCCAAAAGATTCAATCAGGACAACAAAAATGTTCAAAGACGGATGGACAACCAGGTGCATGATATTATATGCTAACATTTTTTCGGAGATATAATAAGAGGACGGACTTTGCATTCATGTTTTTTTTCCAAAACATGGTTGATATTAAATATCCTCACGATAACAAGATATTTGTATCAAAACAGTTCATATTATGGTTGTCAAGCTACATATTGTACATATTTCTCTCATTTTTAGATAGATATCAATCTTAATATATTTCTAAACTAAACTTTTGCCCTGTCATGTTCTTGTTTGGGGTACGCCTGGGCTCCTTGCCACTGGTTCTTGTTGCTGGGTCATATGGGGGTTGCGTTCATTGGACGCCGCCTTTCCTTGTTGATCTTGTTTATCATATTTTACACTCCACAGAACCCGTTTTTTTTTTAAATAATATAAAAAATAAAAAAAAACAAAGTTCAATATATAAAAACATAAAGATTGCGATACTGAAATAAGACTTGGAATGATCTAAATATGTGCTAACGATTCATTTCCGAGGGTTTTCATGTTTGTATTATCATTTGCTTTCTTTATGCTGCTAGTCTGTCAGGCTGTTAGGCTGGTAACTTCACAAATTTCGTGGAGTCAAAATAATTATAAAAATTCAAGATCGCGATACTGAAATAAGGCATGGAATGGTCTAAGTATGTGCTACCGAATCCTTTCCGAGGGTTTTCGTGTTTGAATTATCCTTAGTTTTCTTTCGGCTGCCAGGTTGCCAGCTGCTAGGCTGCTCACTTAACAAATTTCGAAGCGTCAAAATAAAAAAACAAAGTTCAACATTTAAAAAAATAAAGATCGCGATACTGAAATAAGAAGTGGAATGGTCTAGGTATGTGCTACCGATTCTTTTTCGACGGTTTTCATCTTTATACCTTCCTGCTAGGCTGCTAACTTCACAAATTTTGAAGCGTCAGAATGTAAAAATTATGTTAAGATAAAGTTCAACTTCTTAAAAAATAAATATTTTATAATTTTAGAGTAATGTCCTGGACAAAGTTAAAAGTGTCAAAATGAACCAAGGGCCATAACTTCAAAAGTAGGCAAGACAGTGTTACAGTTATTGTGCCCTGCAAACCTACTTAATGAGATATATCTACCTACAAAGTTTCATGTTGATATCTCTTATAGTTTTAAAGTTATGCCCTGGACAAAGTTCAAAGTGTGAAAATAAACAAAGGGGAATTATTAAAAAAATATGCAAGGCAGAGTTACGGTTCTTATGCACTGCACACTTGCTCAATGAGATCTATCTACCTACAAAGTTTCATGTTGATACCACTTATAGTTTTAGAGTTATATCCCAGACAAAGTTCAAAAATTAAAATAAACAAAATGGAATTTTTCAAAAAATTGGCAAAGCAGAGTTACGGTTCTTGTACACTGCACACCAATCAATAAGATATATCTACCTACAAAGTTTCATGTTGATACCTCTTATATTTTTAGAGTTATGTCCCGGACAAAGTTCAAAGTGTAAAAATAAACAAAGGGGAATAATTCAAAAATAAGGCAAGGCAGAGTTACGGTTCTTGTGGACTGCACACCTACTCAGTGAGATCTATCTACCTACAAAGTTCCATTTTGATACCTCTTGTTGTTTCAAAGTTATGTCCCGTACAAGAAAAGCGGAAGGACGGACGGAAAGACGGACGGACAAGACGGCGACTATATGCTCCCCCAAAAATTTACGGGGATCATAAAAAAGCCGAATAGAAAGAACTAAAATACCAAAAGCACAACAATAATGTCGTGCTGAACGATCTTTCAGGATCGGAAATATAACATCCTAATTGAATGTACGGGGCGATTTTTGACAGCCTCAACATGGCACAAACAACACTACTGAGGCGATAAAATAGAAAGAAATATGAAGAATCCCTAAAGAACGTACAAAACGACAAAATTGAAAAAGTTGCAGGTTCAGTTTAAGTGAGCCTGTTCATGGACGGTAATGAATGTGCAAGGTGCCGTCCACGCCCTATAGCACCGGCTTAAGCAGTATTCAACATTTAACTTAAATTTGTAAAATTTTAAATTTTGAAACATCCGCAGATCCATATGGCAGTTGTCACGGAACCTTCAATGTGACACGTTTGTATCATTCCATGAAAAGCGGCATATGGTCCCCAAGTAAAATAATGCGTCTGCCCTAAACGAGAAAACAATAAGCGGAACTAAATGAAATGGGGTTTTGAAAGGGGACCAGAGGGACTGCAAGAGACAAAGCTAGTGAACATACATCTACAATTTGTAACGGAATCTGGCATCGGTTCTCCGCTTGTTGTATTACCAAGATGACTTAAAATCAAGTGGTACATGCACATTGTTAGCTTCTGTATCGATATACGGCCACTGAGTTTCATTCCAGCAGGACACCAAAAAGTCATTGTACACAATAAAAAGTAAATAAATCAATCAACTCACAATACATATGTATCGATGGCTTTGTAAGACTGTACACATATACTTTTAGCAAAACTAAAAATGTTAAGACAAATAAACACTAACATGTATCTTTTAGTAAGGTAAATAGTGAGATCATAATCATTCATTCGCCTAACATTGGATAAAAATATGTTTAAAACTGTAATAACGATGTGTTATTTTCTATTTTAATCCATCGCACTAAATCTAATGTAATGCTCAATATATACTCTCAAATCGACAGATAAGCAGACAACCAGGACAGTTAATACCTTGTCACAACTATATTATAATGTTTATCGTTTGGTGCTTTTATAATGGCCTTGTTATTGGGCTGAAGACAGTTATATTAGCCTGGGACTAAAGGTCTAAGACTTATATAATAGCCTAAATCCCAATAACAAGGCCATTATGAAAAGGCTTAAATAATGACAATTATGTTTATTAACTGCACATTATCTAAAAAGGTTAAGTACTTTCAGAACAAAAAAACTAATGTGTATTCCGTCGTTGTAAGGTATTGCATATGAGAGTCTTGTTTCAAAAAGTCTCGTTAACCTATCTTACAGCAATTCAAAATATTAAAAGAACCCATATTCTGGAGAGCCAATCAAAATTCTCCAATCTCATAATAGCCAAGATTTCTCATAAAGGCCAAACTATTTGCATAATGGCCTTTTTATGTTAATTATGTTGTAGCGAATTTCAAATTAGCCTTGCACTTGAAATGAAAACGTGTCCAATATAGAAAAGTTAATTAATACTGAAATACACTGATCATGTTGTGTTATTCCACAAATGCAAAACAAATATAGCCATATTTTTTATTGGAAATAAACTACACAGAAAGACCTTCAAAATAATACTCTCTGAAATGCGACAGTGTAGGACTTAATTCAATCAATTTTAAATAAGTAATTCAAGTTCATAATTTCAAATGCGCATTGTTTAAGGCACAAGTTGGCGCTGAATAATTCCATTTAAAACATGAGAAATGCTTAATATCCTAATATTTGTTGGTGTGTTGTTAATTTCAGTAGCTTGATTTATGTTTATTATACACTGCTTACTTTAAGATGAAGGATTATATTTTACATTGAAGCTGATACAGACAGATTTGTAGAATATTGTAAATATATTAACAGTCGTTAAGATATGGATGTCTTCAAATAAGTGTGCAATAATGTATCAAAGCAAAAAAATGAACATTCTTTTATGGCTTATTTTGCGTATTTAGTGAGAATTCAAAATATTTATTGTAGACGGTCTTAACCTTGATACTTCTTGTCTTCAATACGCTTATTAGATGTTGTTCATCACTTACATCAATACATTAATGTTTATACTCGCTAAAGTCGTTTTATTTAATACAGTTACAACACAATTCTTCAATAATTCAATACATGTATTTTACAATAAGAGTACGACATTTTTTCAAAACACTTGCATTTGTTTTTCAATATAAATTGCATTTATCTCCCGGATTCATGAAGGATCCAACTGGACAATTCCATGCCTCTGCAAATTCTTTACTGTTCTGCATTTGAAAGTTTATTCTGCAATAGAGGATACACCCAAAAGTACGTGATTTGTTTATAGCGATATCATATGTGAAATGTATGTTTCAAAATGATAGTATTCAGGTATAACAAGCGATTTTTAATACTTAACCTCTAGCAACATTTTTGTCTCTTCTAATATCCGAAGGCAAACACTACCGTACAAAGCTTTCAATTGGGACAACTAATATACTAGAATAAAACTGGAGACAGAAATGATTTAAAGGCTCAATAATCCTATATTGCTTTGAACATTTAGTACAGACATGTGTTTTAGAATTGTGTATGGATTATGCTTCATTTTGTTCCTTATACGACAAATGGTTTATCATTATGTGCCTATTTCTTCAAAAAATTGGCATTTAACATTCTCTCTAACTGTTATATCGTATTTCTACATAAGATAATGATTTTTTTTTCTGAGGCATAATGTGCATTTAATCGGGTGCATGGATTTTCATTGTCTTTGATTTACTTTACATATTTTTGTTTTTGTTTTGTTTCATGACGCATTTCACACAAAACTAGCAAGTCTATGGCTATCTGCTTGCTGGACAAACCTTTATAGTTTATGTTGCCTTCAGTTTGAATAAAAAATAAAAAAATCTGTTTCTTTATGTTTCGTAAGAGTGAAATGCGCATGTGCGAAAATATGCTTACGTATAAACATCTTGTTATAAATATCTGCATTTTATTACATTCCGTTTACATAAAATAATTCTTTTGTGTAAGATATTAGAGATATAATGTATTCTAGCTTAAAACGTTTAGTTTCGTTTGAAAGTCTAGCTTATGAAATAGATAAATACAGAATCCCCAAAGAAAGCCCAACACGGCAAAAATGAAAATGTTGCAGGCTCGGTTTGATTAAGCCTGTTCATGGACGGTACTGGAAAGTGCAAGTTACCGTCCACGCCCCCTATTCAACATTTAAACGTGAAATAGTAAAATTTTGAATTTAGAAACATCCGCAGATGTGTTCATACGGCGGTTATCATGGAAGCTTCAATGTGACACTTCCGTGCCATTCCAAGTAATAAAAAGCGTGTGCCCTAAACGAGAAAACAATGGGCGGAACTAAAGAAAATGGAATTTTGAAAGGGGATCAGAGGTTATGAAGCATGCGTATCACAGATAAGACGTCAAAAGACAAATTTAAAAAGCAGGCAACATATCCTAAGGGTGATTCAACATTATTCAAGTAAGAATATTGGAACCACCCAACTAGAAAATGCCGAAAAGTTAAAACTAAAAATACCACAAGCAGAGCAATAATGTCGTGCTGAACGATCTTCAAGGATAGAAAATATAACATCATTGATTATATGTACGGGGAGACTTTTTACAGCCGCCACACGGCACAAATAACACGGATGTGATCTTAAAATAGATAAATACAGAATCCCCAAAGAAAGCCCAACACGGCAAAATTGAAAATGTTGCAGGCTCGGTGCAATGTTTCTGAAACTTAGCATCGGCTTAAGTAGTATTCAGTTTTCATTACGATGAACCCGAGATACTATGAACAAATGATCGAACATTTTCTTTACATATATCACCAATCATTTTAAAGAATTATTTAGAGAAGAAACATAATTTAATGGCAATTGAATAAATCAATGATGGCCGTACATTTCTAAAAGCTGCCAACGTATAAGGTTATTATTAAGAATTCTCTTGATAAGCTGGAGTTGGTTACAACGAATATGTCAACTGGCTGGTTTTATTACCTTATACTTTCCACGGGATAATTTGAATATCTGACCAATGATATTCTCTTTTTTCTTCTGAGTTTGCTGCATTGGTCCTTGAAAAAAAGTAAAAATTTATATTTCAAATAAAAGGACATTTTATATATATTCGGAAAAGGGTTAACACTACTTTGATACCCTTATAATGATAACAGTACCTTGAAACATAATTATAACTACAAGATGAGTGCATGAACTAGCTGGCCTCACCTCCAGAACTACATTAAGGCTGGTATTCAATACTTGAATCACACTGTATGACTAACAATATCAGAACGAGCGAAATTGTTGTTTTCGTATGATCTCAATGTTCTTCCTTTTCTAAAAGGTAAAAGAAATTTACTTACAATTGCACTATTAAGAAAAAATAATTGCTTTGGCGAATATTGAAGTCCTGGTAATCTTTTCTCATCTTTGCCTGTCCTATTTGTCTTCAGCCACTGCATATAAGCCTAGAATCAGTTATTTTTAAATAATGATTGTAATAATTTTATAATTGGGTTATTATTATTATTTCATTATTATAATAATAAATTTTATTTTAATAATTTATAATTATGTTGGGTGATTTTTAAAGTTTTTTTGCCATTGTTTCCTTTTGTTATAAAGATTACGTGTTTATTTTAAAGAAGATACATTGCCTCCCTGACTATTTTCTAAATATTTTTTATTGGATAAAAAGTAACACTTGAAGCAGGTACGCATATTAATATACGTACCTACTTGAAGCATGGTCGGAATATAAACTTATGATATTGAATAACATCTTTTTAATGAAGCTCAGACTTTGGTTATAACCTTCAATTAAAATAGATAAGTGAGCAAAGCATAACAATCATAAATAAAAACTTTCTACAATGATGGTTTGGCAGGAAACATGGTATTTTAATCTTATTTATATTGATAAAAAATGTTGCTTCGCCTGCAACATAATATCACCATATAACTAGTTTTGAGTCCTTCGTGGTCGGCAAGTGTTTCAGCTAAAGTCCTTTCTCCATTAGTCTGTGCAGGTAGAAAAATAATTGTATTGGTACTATAATATGTTTTTTATTAATTTAAAGATATGACAAATTTTAGGTATGAAATAATTTTTTTTGAATTGTGAATTTCCAAAATCAACAGAGTTAATTGACCAGTTATGTTGAAACGGTATGTGAAATATGAGGACTTTGTAATAAATAGTTTTTTTAAGACAATTAGCGAAAACCTTGTGGTCTACTGACGGACAATCATACCGAATGAAGCAATGACCAATCAGCTTTTACCGGTATCTACAAGTCAATTTGACTGTAAAACATAAGATTGTGCAACATTTATATTTTTTTTTACAAAATGGACAGTTCTATTCGTTATCTTAAATTCTTCTGCATTTTTTGTAAAATGCCATTATCAGTACAAAAAATCATTGCATGACTGGAAAGCGATTTTGAACTTATAGGTTTCATCTTTCAGTTCCAATGAAAATAATAAAAGAAATGATAATGTAATAACTGAATTATTTCTGGACCTCGAAAAATATTATTATTTTTTACTTTTTACCACAGACGATTTAGTTATCTAAAGTGTAAATGCTTTGATTTAAATGGCGTGTTACAGCACCCTTGTGCCACAGCACTTAGTTTATAGTCAAAATTTGGTACTACCAATAAATGTGTAAATTGTTCAAAAAAATCAATGTTCCAAAGGTGAATTTACAGATTTAATTTTTCATAGGGCAAATCTATAATTATTCCGAATAAAAATAAATGAAGTTTAAATGATCAAACACGTCATAAAGGTATGTCCTAACTAAATATGCAAAGAAAGTGTGTACTTCTGTTTATGTTAAAGAATTAAGTAAAATAAATGAATCTTAGGCTCACGTCTACGCAGTCATCAACATAGGTATTGGTTTTTATATTCCATTGCTTAAAGGTATTAAAATATGAAAGATTAAACTGTACGTATATGTTGACTTCTTATTTAACTTTTTTAATTTTCTATGGCCTTTGACTAAGATTTATTTGATATTTGAATGTAAAATGTGGACAAACAATACTTTGACAAAGATCCATAGTTTCTGTTGAACACGATAGAAATAAGTTTACCGATATTCAACATTTGAAACACTCCTTTAAAACAAAAGTAATTTAATTATTTGAGTTATAATTGTGTTTGTCAAGTTGTTTCATCGTTATTACTACATGCGTATTGAAAATGGTACGGACATTTATTTCTAACACTGTGTTGAGAAATGCAAATGCTTATTAAACATTATACATTATTTTTTCATATTGCTGATTCAATGATAAATGACAAAAATGTACCATGTGATTTTTGTATCATGTATAACTAAGTAGAAATCGATGTTTTGACTTAATGCTAAAATATATTATTTTGTCTAATGAGAATATGTATTGTGTGTATCAAGAATTGTGAGATATGTGTGTTGAGTATTATTATGATAAGTGTCATCTTTGGAGCCCGCCCTCTATGGTTATCCCTTGATACTAACAATGATCAAGACTGATTATACGATAAATGCTGACAGATTTGTGTTCATTCACTATGTTACAACATTAAAACCTGATATTTCATAGGAATGTATATTTTCAAATTCATCTTTTTAAATATGCCAATGTGTAACATGCTAATCATGCATGATTATGAACTGAAAATTGACATTGTTATTCTTTAATATCATACTTCACATTTATTTGTAAATTTCAATGGTGTAACTTATGTATAAGCGCCGGTGATCTCATTATGCAAAAAAGACTCTTCAAAACAAAATTAAAAAAATGCGTGTGTGCGTGCGCGTGCACAGTACCTTCATTCCCCCAGTCCCAGGTACGGTGATGTTGCTGATCGTATCTACGAAACACTGAGCTCTTTTGCTAAATTCATTCATGTCTTCTTTTGACCACAACCTCTGATTAGCACCATCTTTATCATATTGTAATCCTATAAAATAACAAAAATGCTGTTTCCGTCAAATTTAATTTCATGATTTTAGACTAACTTCATGTATCATTTTCAAAATTACATTGAGAAAATAACCTTAAATGTGACTAAAATATACCATAAAGAAGTACGAAACTCAGTCACGTTTCCAAATCTATTTTCAGTATTGTTTTAATACTTTCTTAATATCTATGATTTTTACTATTAAACGCTTCATGTTTTTATTTTGTTTTGTTTGATTAATCCTTTATTGATCTTTTTGTTCCTGTGTGTTTATGTGTGAAATGGCTGGAATTACGTCATATCAATATCGTCTTACTTACTTATTTTGATGGCCGGTGATGTCCATAAAAACCCTGGCCCTTAATCATTGTTTTCAACATGCTCAGACCAATCTCAGTCCGATTTTACTAATATTCAACATCACCTTTCGTTCGTCCACTTAAACGTCCAAAGCATTCGTAATAAACTTGACTTAATTTATTCAGAACTTCGTGACTTTGATATACTGGCTTTCTCTGAAACATGGCTTTGTCCGAATATACCTACCGAAGATCTCGCTCTTACATCATATTTTAGTCCCGAACGTAAAGATCGCGTACAAAATACTTACGGAGGAGTTATAGTATATATCAAAAATAACTTACATTACACCAGAAGACGTGATCTTGAACTTAACTTTCTTGAAAATATCTGGATTGAACTTATTCTCGAAAACAACAAACATATTCTTTTTGGAGTTTTTTATCGCGCACCAAACTCGGATGCAATTTACAACGGTCTTATTGAAGACTCAATTGCTCTTGCTGTTTGATACTAATATAACAAATATAATTATAACAGGGGATTTTAACTATAATGCCTTAAACAATTTATCAAATAGAAAAATTTCAGCACTTACACAACAATTTAGTTTGGCTCAACTAATCGAAGAACCCACACATTTTACTGAAAATTCTGAGTCAATTATTGACTTGATATTTGTAACGAACAAAGAAAACATTCTTCATTCTGGTGTTTGGTGAACATTT